GTAGTTAATTTCCATAGCTTAACGACCTGTTAGAATTACTTGATTAAAGACTTCAGAGGTATGATTAAATGACAGTGAGTTATGACTTTGTTTTAGATTTGATTGGAAACGGACTAGTTAATGCTCTGCCAGTTTCCACATGGTTTCAAGACTAGTTATAAAACTCCATACTTAATCATAAGGCTTAGCCACTGAAACTGTAGATTTTTTGTTTATTTGCTTTTAAGTTATAGAATTGTTATGGTGAGTTCCTGCATACCCCTTATCCTGTTTGCTCTGTTGTTAACATCTTATATTACAGTGGTCCATTTGTCACAACTTAAGGAACAGCAAGAAGATACCCTTCTGGGAAGGGCTCAGAGAAAGAGGAAAACCCTCAACCAGATGCACTGACAGAGTGACTGTAACAGGGGGCTCGTGTACATGGTGAGGATTGCATAGGCTAGGGTAGAGGTCAGATCTGTTGGACATGTAAACACTCTTAAGCTCTTTTAACAGTTCCTTGTTGTCATTATATGCCCTCAAGTTGCCTGTGACCCATAGTGACCCTGTATGTACAGCAGCTCTGAATCCTGTCCTGCCCTGAGTCATTTTCACTAATTCTGACACATCAACCCCCATTGCCTTAGTCACTGTATCACTCCATCTCATCCGGTGTCTTCCTCTCCTGCGCTGTCTCCACCTTTCAAGCATGATTTCCTTCTCCAAGTACCGGTGTTCTGGCCGCATGTCCAATGTATATGAGATGGAGCTTTACAATGCTAGTCTCCATAGAGAAAACTTGGTTTCACCCTCTCCAAGACAGATCTATTTGTTTTCTTGGCTGGTCATGGTATGTTTAAGACTCTTCTCTAGCACGACAATTTGAAGGCATTGATTCTTCTTCTGTCATCCTTAGTCATTATCCAGCTTTCTGATCCATAGCAGGTAATTGCAAAGACAATGGCCTGGAGTAGGCACATTTTAGTCTCTAGTCTGACATCGTTGGCTTTTCAGCACTCTGTAGAGGTCCCTGACAGCAGATTTTCCCAGTGCAGTTATTCTTTTGATTTC